TTTCTCAAAATCACATAAAACCATATTATAACATCGACTGAGATAAAAAATAAAATAAAATATTAAAATCACGATGTATCTTGCTGAATTGTGCGAGTACGCTTCTAGTAATAAGATAATATATAATAATGAATTGAGAAGTTGAATTTTAAAATATTTTTAAAAATATAAAATAAATGTTTTGTTGTAATCTAAAGAGTAATAAATACGAGAATATGTGATGAAAGTTAACAAAGAAAGAAGATAATGGACTAAACTGAAATCAAGGGATAATCGAAGGGGTAAAGATGTAATTTAGGATGAAGCGTGTTGAAAGAGTGTGCGCGTGTAGAATACGCGCGAAGGAGGTGAAGTGGGGTGGGATGAAAAATGTCAAACAGAAAATTGATGGGTAGTTTAATTAGCGTGCGAAAGCGTGGCATTATGACCGTTGGATCAAGAACAAGGTATTGGACTTTTATTTAAAAGTAAACTACAATTTTGGTCCCTACGGTTTACACAGATCTTCGAAAATGGTCTCTAAACTTTAATAACTACAATTATTGTCCCTATCAGTTACATTTTGTTTTGAAAATAGTCCTTAATCACTAACTCCGTTAAGTTAATCCGCTAAGTGAGGGTTATATGTGTCTTTTTACCATTTTTTTGTCTTTTATCTCAGGGACTAAAATTATTGTTACCTTTTTAATCTAATATAGTTAGAGATAAAGATTAAAAAAATGGTAAAAAGACATATATAACCTTTACTTAACTGATTAATCAAATGGAGTTAGTTATCAAGGACTATTTCTAAAACAAAATATAAACAGTATGGACGATAATTATAGCTACTGAAGTTTAAGAATCATTTTCAGATATTGGAAAAAATCACATGGACCAAAAATATAGTTTACTTTTATACAAATATAATAAATAAAAAAATTAATAGTCAACTTTACACCTTTGACTCTTCCGTTCAAACTATCATCAACTTCTTCTAGTTCGTTTATATATGGAGATAATAAAATACAAAAGTAAAAGTAATATCTAATTACATTTAATTTTAATAAGTATTTTATAAATTTATTAGTCTAATACTAGAAGAGTATTCGTGCAATACAGCGAAACACATCTCGATTTTAATGTTCTATTTTATTATTTGTCTCTGTCAATGTTATAATACGGTTTTATGTATTTTTAAGAAAGCAATAATGATTTTATTTTTGAATAAAATATAAATTTGAAATATCAATGTTAATATCAAATCAACTATTTAAAAGTTTTCTCATTTTTTATGTAATCTTTTTAATTTATTATAATTTAATTTAAGTTAAATAATGAAATAATTTACTTTTAATT